GCGGAGTCGGGCCTGTGCGTTCTGCGTGACGCCGGTGCGTGCCCCGGTGCACGGGGCTCCGACGCCACCAACGACTGAAGCCCCCGCGCCTGCCGGGGCTCTACCGCCTCGTCGACCACCACAAAGTTGGGCAGTACCCCCGTCGTGTGGTGGGCGCCGCTGCCGCCGCCTCTGCCGCCGCCTCTGCCGCGGTGGCTGTTGCCGCGGTGGCGCGCCTCTTCGCCGCGCCGGTGGAAGTCCACAACGGAGCGCAGAATGCTGCGAAACTCCGCGCGCTCCGCCTCGTAGATCGTCAGGCGCTCCTCCAAATCGGCTATGCGCCCCAAAAGTCGTTTCTCCAGCTCGCCCACAAACACCTTGTCGGCCTTCTGTGCCACGGCGGCACGGTCCGCCTTGTCCTGCAGCGTCGCGACAACCTCACCGCGCTGCATGTAATTTTTGTCAAATATCTTCAGTCGGCGCTCCACCTCGCCCCCGCCGCCGCCGCCGCCGCCGCCGCCGTCGGCTCCCACGCCCCCAGCGGCCACAGTACTGCCGCGGCGGCCCATCTCCTTCCGCATCTCTTCCCGCAGCGAGACAATGGAGTTGCCGAGGGTCATGGACTGCTCGTCCCGCGCCTCCCCAAGGCGGTCCATCATGTCCCGAATAAGAACGCGTCGGAACTCCACGAGGAGAGGCGCGCCCCGCAGTATCTCCTGGAGCTCGCTGCTGTCTCTTCCAGACTGGCTCTGCCGATGCGGCACACTACCACTGCGGAGGGCCTCATCCTCTACTTCCTCGGCGGGCGATGGTATAAGCCAGACTGCAATCCGCTCGAGCTCATCCATGTACCGCTTCTGCGACACTTGCAACTCCTCACACATCTGCTCCAACCGTTTACGAGACTCCTCGTTCTGTCGACGCGCCTTCCTTTCCCAATCCTCCTTCCTGCGATTCCGCTCAATGCGTTCCATGTGCATCTTCTCCATGAATTTGCGCATATCCCGCACTTCGGTCTCGCTCTGCCCTGGATCTTGTCCCGGCCCCTGGCCAGCGAAGGCACCGGCCTCCCCTCCAACGAGCGTCGGGTCATCACGCAAAAAAGCAGGTAGGAGCGACTCGAGAGAAAACCCCTCCGGCATCGTCATGCTACCCTCTGCAACCTTCTCCTCCAGCTCCAGCAGAGTTCGTTGCCGCATAAACTGACGCAAATTCGTAATTGTTGTGGTGCACCACTTCACCTCCTCTTGCAAGCCAACCACAGTACGATGCAACGCATTTATGTTGTCGGACAGTTTGTTGCTCAGGCTCCGTAGGTATGCCTCCAGGGGGAACGCTTGCAGGAGAATTGACGGAATCGCCGGGAGCTCTTCCATGGAGAGACTCATTAGAGACACAGAAATGCACAAAAGCCCTCTCGTTACCTAGATCCTAGATGAGTACAAATCCTCGTGTACTCATAAAATCAGCGACCAAAAGCAAGCTAAGCGCACATGTATGTACGCAGTTGTTGATAACAAAGGACACGGTCAGTAGCAGAGCGATAGAAAAGAGAAGGCGAGAAGATAAATAAAAAACAAAATACGCACCCCAATAAGCCGGGAAGGAGCGCCGGAGCTCGTGGCTCACGCGGAGCCGGACGCATGTGTGGCGTCGGTGCGTCAGAGACAAAAAAAAGGATATCCGCGACAATGTGTGAGAAACGAGTCACAAAGAGGGGGGTTTCTCACTCGGGGTGCACAAGTTTGGCTTCCTTCTGCCGCCTGTACTCCAGCATCTCCTCCCGCACCACTTGGATGTGGTCCTCGCTCCGCGGCAGAAGAATGCGGCGGATAGCGCGTAGTGCGTCAATGCTCGTGGGGCTTGCAGCGTATGAAAGACGAGCAAAGTCCTCTTGCTGCAGAGGCGTCACGAGCGCACTGTCACCACCACCACCTCCGCGTATCCTCCTCCAAAGGGCACCGACAACACTGTACGATGCTCGGCCGCTTGCTGCGGACTCCTGCAGGCGCCGCATCTCGCGCTCTGTCTCCTGCCCCTGCAGGGCAGACAAATAAAGCTGCTCGTGCGTCGTGTCCATCGGGTGGTGGACCTTGACTCGGTCATGTGCTGTCGTGGACACCAAGGACGCGCGCTCCTGTGTCGGCGCCCGCTGCGGCGCAGGGGAGGAGGACGGCTGTGCGTGCTCTTCGCCCCTCGCCCCGCCTGTCCCCAGGGCCTCCCCCAGCCCCGCGGCAAGAGCACCTTCGCCGGGCACGCGACTCATGCCGGTGGCGTTGTTGTCTTCGTTGCCGTCCATCGTGGACGCACGCAGCCCCTCCACCCGGGCCGCCTCCGCATCGAGCAGGCGGCGCTTCTCACGACGAACGGCCTCCACAACTGGCCGGAAATCGGGCCGGTGGGCCTGCAGCTCCGCCCGCGCCCGCTGCAAGTCGCGCCGGAGGTCCTCCTCAAGTCCGCTCCGCGTCTCCTCCATCGCCTCCACAAAGTCGTCGTAGTGGTCCGCGAGCAGCTTCAGCTCGTAGTGCTGCTGTAGGCACTCCATCAGCACCCACGCCGTGAGGGCCTTCAACAGGAGCGTGCCGTAGTAGTAGAAATTGTCGGTGCGCTCCCATCTGGTGTACTTGCTGATGACGTCCTTCAGCTTCGTGACGTTCCGCTCGAACTCCTCGCGCGTGTTGCCGAAGAGCATTGCGTCCGCTCGAATCCAGTCGACAAGGAGAAAGTGCT